GCACTGTGATGGCTGGACATTCAGCAGGGAGGGGTGACAGATGGGAACCCTGTGGGCATGCCGTACTAAGGAGTCCATTAGAGGCATGCGGGGAGGGCAGATTACTGAGCACAGCCCCCTGGGAGAATCAACCCCTGCCTAACCCCCAACAGTCAGTAAAACCTCATGGTCCCTGGTACCAACGGTTGGGGCTAGAACTGAAGCTGGGAAGCAGGGATTGTTCCTCAACCACATCCCTCGTTTCAGTCGATCTCCTGGTCAAATGGCTTTTCCCCTCTATAGCTGGCTGCCAGTTCAGCACCTGAACAACACCCAGCAATCTGTATTAATCCCTCCCCTCCCACTCCCGTGTAAGAACTAGATCACTGCCAAACATTCCTCTTCCAGCACCCACCTGTCTCTTCCTGAGCACCTCACTTGGGTCAGGAATCCTGTCTGTCCCCACTGTGGGGACGAGCATGCCATACTAGGTGTCGCTTTTGTAGTGGTTTGGCCACAGCTCCCCACAAGTTAGTACCATGTGGCTAGGAGCATTACAGTAGGACTCTGCAGGGAAACCCCTGCTGTTCAGTGCAGCAAACACCCACATTTTCTTAACAGGAGCAAGGAGGAGTTACAAGGCAGGCTGTTAGCCTCCAGCGTACACTCTGCTAAGGATTCCAGACAGTCAACTTCATCACCACCCGTCACAGGCATCTTTACACGCTGGCTGCTTTCACCGCAGTTTGGTGGTTTGGGATTATTGCAAGGACTGTAACCTAGTTCCCCCTTCGTAGGGTGTTCATTTCCTTAAAGCAAGGAGGGCTCCTTCCAAGAAAAACAAGGAGGAGGGGGAAGAATTGGTGGCATTGCTTAACCCAGAGACTGAAATGCTCTGTGCACAGCACAGGCAGCCAGGGGTGTCATTTGCTATGGGACAAGGGGGGCAGTTGCCTCCCCTCCCCCAGATTTTTCATAGGTCTGTATGCCCCCCCACCAATCCTCCCAGCTTTGCAGGCTATAATATAATCACATATAATGTTCTATATGCTGACAACTTTGCTCCACTGCCTGCCTCTTCCCCCCAACGTTTTTCTGAACTAACACCCCTGCAGACAGCCCCACTGCAAGCTTCCCCTGCTGAGACAGCTAATAAGGGCCAATGGTGGTGGAGATTAAGGTTAGACACCTGTCCACCGCTCTCTGGACTGAGCTCACCCAATTGTTCTTCGCAGTTTTTTTGGTCCTCTCTCTCTTCCGCGCTGCTGTCGAACCTGCAGGGCCAAGGAGAAAAGGCTTTCCTTGCCCATTCCCAGTCCTGTCCCCCAAAGCATCCCTGACCAGTAGCCCAATTAAAAACAGATGAAAACGACATTCTTATTTCAAAGCAGCTCAGAACATAGACCCTAAGGCAGCTCCTAATGGGTGCTGGGTTTAGCAGATGAAACGTGGGGCCAACTGGACCAATGTAAGATACTGTTAAAAATCACACAGCAGCTTTCCCCACTGGATTCTCTCCCTTTTTCAAGGTAGGTTCCAAATAGACTTAAACTTAAGATATCCCTTCTCCATCCGCTCCTCAATGCCTCTGGTAGCTATCTACTTGTGCAACAGTGCCAGCCAGAGACTGAATACAGTACTGCAGATCAGTAATTCATTTAGCAGCTCCTTGCCCTATTTGTCTCATCTCCCAGTTCAAACCTGCCTTTTGTCCACTTAGAAATTAGTGCTAGCAACAGGGATGATTGTCTAGTAAGGTTACGGGGGTAACAAGCAAATGCCCCGATACAGTCCTTGCAGTGGGTTGAGTTTGATGGTGCCCCGTTGAATATTTTTGGAGGTGGCAGAGAATAAAAGCGGTAAACAAAGCAAAGGTTCAAGTTTTAAAGATTCCCTTCTTGGGTCCCGTATCACTGACTCCACTGGGACTTGATCACTTACCATAAAGCATCTTATTAAAAAAAAAAAAATCTACTAGCCTTGAATCTGGTTCCTGGGAAATTGGTTGAAACAAAAAAACAGATAATTCATACATCTGGTGGATTCATAGATTGCAAGAAGGGATCACTGTGGTCATCTAATCTGACCTCCTGGATAGCCCAGGCCACAGAACTTCTCCAAAATAATTTCTAGAGCAGATACTCTAGAAAAAACATCTAATCATGATTAAAAATGGTCACTGATGGAGAATCCAGCATGGCCCTTGGTAAATTGTTCTGGATCAAAATGATAAGGTCTAATCAGCATGGTTCTTGCAAAGGAAAATCATGTCTCACTAATCTACTAGAGTGCTTGGAACCTATCAATAGAGTCCGTTGTCATAATTTATTTAGACTTTCCAAAGGCCTCTGACAAGGTCCTGCACAAGAGGCTATTAAAGAAACTAATTAGTCATGAAGAATCACTGGCATGGGTCAACAAGATTAACAGCAGGTGCCTCAAGGTGCTGTACTAGGTCTGGAGTTCAGTGTCATCTAGACGAGAGGGTGAGCACTGCAGTGGCAAAATTTGCAGATAACACCCAGTTATTTAGGTTAGGTGAGACCAGAGAGAACACCGAGGAGCTCCAGAGGGACCTAAACAAGCCAGATGAATTGGCAACATGATGGGAAGTGATGCTTAGTGTTGATCAATGCAAAGTAATGCACACTGAAGGGAGGGGAGGGGGGAAAAGAGCTACTCATACAGTGTACAGGATTCCAAATTAACTGTATGAACTCAGGAGACGGGCCTGGATGTGTCAGCTCAGTGAGACCTTCACTCAATGTGCAGTTGGTGAAAAACAGCGAACAAGATGGCAGGATGTATAAGGAGTCGGATGCAGCACGCTATGGAAAATATTCTAAGGTCTTCAAAAATCTGTGGTTTGCGGATACTGTGTGTAGTATCGGGCACCCCATTTCCAAAAGGATATTGCATAACAAGAGAAGGTTCAGAGACGGGTGAAGAGAATGATCAAGGGCCTGGAAGAACACTCATACGAGGGGAAGTTTGCTACTATTTTAATCTTAGAAAGGAGAAGAATAAAAGAGGACAAGAATATAAAATAATGAATGGTCTAGAGAAGGGGCGCTAATGTTCTCCTTTCTCGAGCAAGGAGACATTCAATTAAACAAAAGCTGGGTCATTCTAACCGATAAAAGGAAATACTGTTTCCATATAGAGTATAATTAGATAGAGGAACCAATGCAGATGTTGCTGAGGATTAGCATTCAGCAGGATTCAAAGAGGGCGTGGGAATTTAGATGGATAACAGGAATAGGCAGAGTTATCACAGTTAATGCTAACACAAATTTCAGAAGGGATATTAAACGTTTGGGGTTAAAGCCAATCTCTTAACTATTAGGGATTAGGATGAGGCCTTCATGGGGGCAGATTACCCCACATTTTCCTACGGTGGGCTTCTTTCACTTTCCCCTGAAACACCTGGCCACTGTCTGAGCCAGGTTACCAGACTAGAAAAGGTACGGGTCTGATGCACTGGCAATCCCTACGAGATCCACCACTGCAACTGCCTAGAAGAGTAATCACAGCATCCCTTTACCAGCCATCCCAGCTGCCTCCTCCCCTCCTACTCCAGCAAGCTGTGCACCGCAACCAGCAAAGGTTCATGACACCGGCAAGAACGGAAAAATCCCTGATAACGCTTGAGATACTTTTAGTCTTAATGCTGCTGCTTCTTCTATCCAGTCTCCAGGCTAAAATTAAGTAGCCTTGGCCCCAGCTACAGGAGCCTTTAGACAGGAGCCAGGTCCTGAGCTTCAGGGCACTGAAGCCATATATTAGCTGATAACTGGCTCTCCCACTCTCCTTCGACCAGAAGATAGTTTGGCTCCCTCCCCACTGGCTGGCTGAACAGTGCTAGAAACAGGGTTAGCAGGAATTGGGTCTAAACCCAATCTGAGGCCCAGGTGGACACAGCCTAAATCCAGTCACAGTTTGCAAGCTTTACCCAGTAGCCTGAAGTGGGAAGCACAGATGGACCCAAGCCTCAGATCCAGATTTAGAAACCCCACGCTCACTGCACAAAAGTTCAGGGGATTTCAAAGCGGGGGCTCTGCTTTGCCGCCACTCTGAATAACTGCCAGCAGGGAGCGGTTTACAATCTCAATCACGGACAGAAATACAGGAGTCAAGTGAGAGGGGCCCCGCCAGACGGATTCTCCATAGAAAGGTTTGTGGATGAAGACCATCATCTGCTGTGCCTGTAAGCCAAACACTGCAGACTTGGGATGGTGCATCGCAACCCAGAACATTCACTCCTGATTTACCCCAGGATTTTTAACCTGACCGTATTTTAGTGTTTGAAAACCAGCCGTTCCTTTATACACCTGCTGCCACCCTGAAGTTCAGGCTTCTGCGTTCCCCTAGGAAGGGCTGGCAACCAGGACCACTAGCACAGTCCTAGGGTGCTGCTCTGGTTAGGTGTCTGCGATGTCCCTGGGAGGGAAAGCAGATCTCCAAATTCAGATCCTGACAGGATCAGTCTGTCATTTTGTCTAGGGGCAACTGGTTTTCTAGTCATGATTGTCACATGCCAAACAGTGTATTTGTTTAGAGGTGGACACAGATGCTCTTTTAAAGTAACCGGGAAAGTTAAGAATCTGGGCTTGGTAGGCTGGGAGCAAGAGAAGGTAAGAGCAAAACCCTCCTGGATTCTCCAGCACTGGCTGACCCCCTCCAATGACTTACAAGCAGAGACTGTATCGGCTCCGGCTGTAATCCTGTTCTGCGAAGGCAGGCTAGATCTGGGCTGAGATCCATTAGAGGATGCTCCGTGCCTTTCCCGGGGATGGCTCTTGAGAATGCCACTCAGTGGATGCGGGAGACACTTGCATTACTTTAACAACGTTTGTTCCTCTAATGGGGCTTCTCCAGTTTCTGTACACTGCAGGAGCCTGTAACCCTCGCCCATCACTGCATGCTGGGAATGTCATCGTGCTGATGTTCCTGACTGCTGCATTCAACCTTTGGATGAGATAATTCAATCCCTCCCCACCCACCCCCAAAATCCCCCCATTAACGCCTCTCTGTGTAGTTCTTGGCAGTCTCCCCACGGATGGCAGTCTCTCCGTGGATGGTGCTGTCTCCGAAGAGGAGTCATCATTTCCAAACTGCTCTCCCTTGTTTGTTCCCTGAGCCCCTCTCTCTCAGGAGATGTCTTTATGACGGCGTGAAGTATTGAGAGAGAGAGTTTGGCCGGATCGCCGGCCTCGGCCTCCACTCCAGTCATGGGCTGAAGAAGCGTCGTACCACCAAATGACCCAGCAGGACCACGACCAACACTCCCATCATGTACAACACGTAAACGTTATCCAACTCCAGTGCTGCCACCTAGCAGGAGAGAGAATTGGCAGGTGAAAGACGCAGCAACAGGATGATCCAATTGCACTAGTGTTGCTGGCATGCCTGGCACTCAGACATCACCTGGGTTGCTTTTTGCACAAACTTGGCAGCATTGGATTCATTAAAATATGCTTGTGCTCCGCCCTGCAACTGAATGAGCCAGATTCTGATCTCCTTTACGCCATGGTAAACCCACAGAAACTTCAGATCATCATCAGTGAATAAGCGTTTTCATCCATCAGCCAGCTCTAGGGTACACACAATAGACATGCCTGCTGCAGCTAAGGGGTCCAATCAGCCCTTTACTTTCAGTACAGCAGTTTTGATATAAAAACTTAAGAATGGACAGACTGGGTCAGACCAATGGTCCCTCTAGCCCAGTATTCTGTCCTGCGACAGTGGCCAGTGCCAGATGCTTCAGAAGGACTGAACAGAACAGGTAGTGATCCATCCCCTGTCATCCACTCCCAGCTTCTGGCAGTCAGAGCTAGGGACATCCAGAGCATGGGGTTGCATCCCTGACCATCTTGGCTAATAGCCATTGATGCACCTATCCTCTATGAACTTATCTAAGTTTTTTTTGAGCCCCATTACAGTTTTGGCCTTCACAACATCCCCCTGGCAAGGAGTTCCACAGATTGACTGTGCATGGTGTGAAGAAGTACTTCCTGTTGTTTGTGTTAAAATGGCTGCCTACTAATTTCATTTCCCCTTCTCATAACACAAGAATTAGATTCTCTGTTTCTTGTGTTATGAGAAGGGGTAAATAACATTTCCCTATTCACTTTCTCCACACCATCCATGATTTTTACAGACCTCTATCATATCCCCCGCCTCCCAGCTGTCTCTTTTACAAGCTGAAAAGTCCCAGTTTTTTTAATCTCTCCTCATATGGAGGCCGTTCCATACCCTTAATCATTTTAGTTGCCCTTCTCTGTACCTTTTCTAATTCTAATATATCTTTTTTGAGATTGGGTGACCAGAACCGCATGCTGGTGTGGGTGAACCATGGATTTATATAGTGGCATTATGATATTTTCCATCTTATTATCTATCCCTTTCCTAAGGGGATATGGGATCTCTTCTATTATCGGACACTCACTAACATGGCAGGAGAAGGACCTCACTCAGAGCTACACTTTCTACGCTGCCCTCAAATTTGGAGTGCCTCATTTTTCAGATGTCCAGCTTTAAACAACCAGGGCCTGATTTGCTGAGCACACACAACTGCCACCAGAGATAACAGGAGCTGTGGGCGCCTAGCCCTCCTGAGAACTGGATTGCTCGTACACACAGGGAGGGTGCTTAGGGTACTAGACTAGGGCTGGGGAAACCCGGGTCAATTCCCTGCTCTGCTACAGGCTCCCTGTGTGACCTTAGGCAAGTCATTTAGCCTCTCTGTGCCTCAGTTTCCCACCTGTAAAGTGGAGATAGTACCACTGGCCTGCTACACAGAGGTGTTGCGAAAATAAATACGGAAAAGTTTGTGAGGTGCCCAAATATCATGGAGATGGGGGCCATGTAAGTACCTTAGATAAATAGATACTGGTGTTTAAGTGTGGATTAAGTACCTAATTTTAGGTTCCAAGTTTGAACATTTTGGCCTAACTCCTGAAGCGTCCCCGCAGCTGGCTGCATTCTGATGCCTCCCCCTCTGCGTCACAGCACCCCCAACTGGTCAGAGCTCAGCTGCAAGCGCCTCTGACCCAATTTGACCAGTAACACTGCTCACAAGGCCAGCTAAGCGAGGAATTGTGCGGACCCTAGCCCGGCCCAGCCGCCCTGCAGAGAAAAAAAGCCAGGCTCACTTACCCATCCTCCTTGGTCGGCGATCCACTGGGCGATGCGGTTGCGGAGCACGAATTCTGCCACGTAGCGAGCGATGCTCCGGAGGAAGCCGGTCACCCCGTGCTGGTACACATGAATCGCCATCCGGTAACCGAACCCCAGCAGCGCAATCACCCTGCCCCAGTTAATGCCGCTGTCAAACAAGCTGTAACAGAACCAAACCTCCTGGTTAAAAAAAAAACACAATACGCTGGTTCTGGTGCTCTGCCGCCCCCTGTTGGGCTGCTCCGTCCACTCACATTACTCTGCAGCTGGTGGAATGTCCAGGGGTTCACAGTTGTGTCCTGTGCACCCCTGGAGCACTCTCAGCCCTCAAGCTACATCCTACCCTGACAAATTTAGTAACAGCTTAGTGGTGAAAAACAAACACAACTAACTGCGCAGTTCTGCTCTCCCACACGCTCAACCACAAAACACTAACAGTTTGCGCTCTGTGAACTGTAGCTATCCTGGAAGGAACACACTCGCCCTGGGGCTTTATCTATGCAACAGAGATATGCAGGTTTAAACAGGATTGTGGCCCAGGCATATTAAGACACGATTTTTTCTTCGCCTGGATGCATGAAAATTAAATACCTCCCACAGGGCTGGATTCTGATCTCACTTTAGCCTGCCAGCTCTTTAGGGCAAGGATGGACTTCCAACATATATCTGTGCAGCATCAACCCAATGGGGGCTCAGTCCTGATCTGAGCTTCCAGGTGCATACAAACAACACCCATTTACATGGGGTTTCGCACCAGTGTCACTATACTGAGTTACTCCTGATTTACACCAGAGTATGTGTGTGACGAGAATCAGGCCCCGGGTTTTAACCTGGATGCCTGTCATGGCTATTTCTGTTCGCACCACTGCAGAGAAACTGTTCTAATGCAGGTATCCGTCCTGCCCCACAGCATAAAGAGGAGGATCTTCATAGTGCAGATGGGGGCCTTCCAGAGCATCATGGAAAGAGACGAGTTAGTGGAGACGGAGGAAAGAACAACACTGAAAAGGCAGGATGGAGAGTGAGTGACAGAGGTTAATTTACCTGTTTGCTGTGCATTAACCGCCTCAGGCTGGCAAAGCGTGGCTTCCCGAAGAAAGGGAGCAGGAAGAAAGGACAGGAGAGACAGTTAGGCAATGTACAGCGTGTGCCCGGGGGGGAAGGCAAGGAGAGGGGTGTTGGTGTGGAGCCTGTCAGCGTCAAGAAGCTGCCTCCCCTTCCCAGCATTGCCATGACACAGGGCTAGCATTTGTACAAGGTCTGGCCTAACGAGGGAGGAAGTGGATAGGGAATTAGACTGGGCCTCAAGGTTTAATCCCCAGCTCAGCCTGAGGCAAATCACTTCATCTTCTCTGTGCCTCTGATCCCCAGCTGTGAAACAGAGCTAAGCCGGAATTCCCCCCCATCACAGGGGGCCTGCAGGGATAGAATCCATTGGTGGTTGTGAGGTGCTCAGATACAGTGGTGATGCAGGGCATGAGCGTCCTCAAACAGAATGAGGCCTCTAGGGGCTATCACAAAATAGGGGAGATAGCCGGGGGGCAAGTGGGAAGGGAACCACAGTCTCCTCAGGGGCCTTTGGGTTCACCAGACATGCCTGCTGTCTTCCCCTTCACCCCGGGATAAGCCACCTCACCTGTGGCCAGGCAAGCAGTAGCAGCAGAGGGGTGAAGTGATTTCCTCTATCTCCTCTCTGATATGGGAGGGACATCTAAAGGGCAGGTGGGGCCACTGGACTGTACAAAATCCAGCACTCTAGGAAGCTGCCCTGATCCCCCTGCATCTCTGCAGCCATTTCAACACAGCATGCATTAGTCAATGCGCCAAGTCCGTCAGGCTGCTCTTGAAATCGGAAGGTTTCCGGGCACCGCTGGTCCGTTGCTCGGTGTTAGACACAGAGAGCAGGCTTCTCCCCTGTGTCCAAGCTATTCTCAGCTCAAGGGGCACCAGGAAACCAATGAGAGGGTCTATTAGGGTGACCAGATGTCCCGATTTTATAGGGACAGTCCAATTTTTTGGGTCTTTTTCTTATATAGGCTCCTATTACCCCCCACCCCCGTCCCGATTTTTCACACTTGCTGTCTGGTCACCCTAGGGTCTATGCCAGTCCCGGTGTGAGTTACAGCAGCCTGGGAGACTGAGGACTGGTGTAACGAAGTGGAGCTCTGCCCTTCGCCCTCCACGGGGGTGGAACATGCCCAGGCCAGGAGTCAGCGCCACCAGCTTTATGCCAGCTCAGAGTTCACACAGGGATGGTCAGTTACAGCCAGGATCCAGTCCCTTTTGCATAGCCCGAGGAGCTGGGAGGATCACATGGGAAGATCTAGCCCTGTGCGTTCTCTGCACTACCAGAACAGGTTCCCTCTCCACCCACTGACCTCTGAGAGAGACTCTCCTCCCACTGCGAACGAGCATGCTAGACGATCAGAGTCCCAACTCCTCAGACTCTTTGCTTTCACTTTTCACCCCCCGCCCGGCCCCGCAACAGCAGGGCAGGAGGACTGGCAGACAACGCCTTCCTTAGAGGACTGTGGAGTAACGAGGTCTGCGTGGTACCTAAGATCAAAGGCTAGACTGAGCTGGTTCAAGGCGTCTGATTGTCAGAGGCCCTGAGGTCCTGCAGGGCCCGCTGCCTGAAGCTGTGTTTGCTTAGCACCGACTGGAAATCAGGCCCTGTGCTTTTAACCATCAAGCCTTTCTGACTGTGAAGAAAAACCTTTGCAATGGAGGCTGACACACTGCTGCCCAGGAACAAAACAGTGACTATATTCCCCTCTCGTGCTGATTTTACACCAGTGTAACTCCAGACATCGGTAAAATCCCGCCTGATGTCACAGAGAGGAGAGCCGGGCCCCACAGCTCTGCCAGCTCAACCAGCGTTTAGTTGTCATGATAAGGCTTGAGACTGATGGGGCAGATTTTCAGCACGGGAGGCCAGCAGGCCATCCATCCTTCTGCATGCTCACTAGCACGTGCAAGGACTGCCAGTGCATTTGCAAACGGGACCGAAGACCCATTTACACGCTGCCAAGATCTGACATGGATGTATGATGACAGACGCAAAAGCAGACAGGCAGAAAATGCGGGCATATTTCAGACACTGCTTCATGAAATGCCAGCCTTCCATTGTGAAGTAGTTCACGGCTGATACCAGCTTCTCTGGGACTATGGGCTGGGGTTGGGGGGGGAATTTGGGTGCCAGCTGTTCTGGTATTGTGGGCAGAGCTTGGGTAAAACAATGCCAATTTTCGCTCCTCTGATTTTCACCCCGCGTGCCAGTCGGACCCTCTCAACATCGCCAGCGTTCCTTGGGAGTGCTGGGAGCTGGCTGCCTTACCTGGAGGCTATCTTAGTGAAGTACTCATAGGCATTGTCCTTCGTGGGCTGCAGGGTCTTCAGCATGTTCTGAAACTCTGCGTCATACCGCATGTTGATGTCATCTCCTATGATAGCCAGGCGCCTGCCCACCTGGTTACTGGTGCTGCCAAGAGGATGGAAAGCATTAGAGATGGGCCCAACTTCCACGCAAGGCCAGGAGGATCCAGGGTCAGGCCACAAATTGGGTGTGAATCCCACCCTGAACATGGATTGTGTTGGGTGACATACGATTCAGTCTGTAATGGGAAGAGCTTTACCTGCCCGGCTCCTGCTGGATCTCTGCAATCTCGGGGTCCATCGGCACCTCCCCTCCACCCTCTTCCCTCTCCTGCTGGTAGCGGTAGAAGGCATAGCTCCGGAACACCTCCTCGGTCTCTTGGGCCACCTGATCTTCTGAGGGAGAGACAATGATTGGCAGGGTCAGGCAGGCAGCTCCTCTGGGGTGCGCAGGAGTGAGGAAACCCCTCCTTATCCTCATGCTCTTATAACACTGGGGAAACTGTGCGGCCCCTCCCATATCCCGAAGAAGTGGGCTGTAGCCCACGAAAGCTTATGCGCCAATAAATTTGTTAGTCTCTAAGGTGCCACAAGTACTCCTGAGACAGTGTGTCCCCACGGCACTAACCCCTGCGCTGCTGCATTCTCCATCATTCTGATGGACCAAATGACCACTGTGCTCCTTAGATAGCAAGCCCTTTGCACCAGGGACTGGATCTGCAGATTGGTCCACACGGGTCTGCTGTGCTTTGGGGGCTCTAGAAACCATCAGAGGAGCCCTCTGAGGCTTGAAGCACTGTCAGATGCCATGTGAAACACCTGGCGGGCTTGCCCTCTATGCAGAGCTGCACCAGTTTGATTAAATTAAACCAGTGCCAAAGGCGGTCTGGGTGCCCTTATTCTGGCCTGACCTAGTGTTCTTTCAGTTTAGCTGAAGTCAATTAGAAAGGGGTTTAAAATGAACTGAAATTATAATACTCAGATATGCTTTTCATCTCTATCTCTCATACAGAGGTCAGTATCATCATCTCCATTTTACAGATGGAAAAACTGAGGCACAGAATAGGGATGTCACTTGCCCAGGTTCACCCAGCAGGCCACTGATACAGCTGGGAACAGAACCCAAGTCTCCTGAGTCCCTGGCCAGTGCTCTCTCCACTGCCCCACGCTGCCTCCCATAATAAAGCCACTCAAACTGAAATAAGCATTTCCACACAGGACTTTGTACCGATAGAACTAAATCAGTTTAACTAAACCAGTGCAATTTTTTGGTTAGATAAGGCCGTAGCAACAAGCCTCGCTACAGGATCAAATGAGGGCTGAACTTGGACCTTGGAGGGAGCATATCAGTGGCAAATAGGGTACGAAAATTAGAGACGTTCAAGACAAAACAAGTCAAGGGCTAACTGGGAGACCCTTTAAAAACATGAGGATTCCCATATCAAAGATACAACCACAGACCATGGGGCTCCCACCCCAAGTTACATGCAGAGAGCACACTCCAGAAGGAGAGGAATTCAAACAGATGTGATGCAGTCACACCATGGATAGCCTCTGTTTTTTGGAAGCTTGACTTGAGACTTGGATTTTTCAGAAGTGCTGAGAACCCACAGCTCGCTCGCACTGATTTCAACTGCAGCTGCAGGCGCTCAGCACCTCTGAAAATCTAAGCCCCAAGGTGTCCGAAATCAGACACTGAAAAAAGCCCTAGAGGCTGCCAAAAAAATCAGTGGTCAACTTCAAAAGTGTTAGCTTCATGTTTTATTGCTTTTAAACAAACATGCACCCACACAAACCAAACCAAACTTTTTTATGAGTGGCTTTCTAAAAATGAGATGTACAGGAGAACTTTTATCCCCAGGAAGCAATGCCAATTCTCATGATTTTAATCACAGGTTTCACAATACTTGATGTCATTCTTAAAGACCCAGCTGCTGGAGTCAGGTGATTATGTAAAAAAAAATCATTTCTGGCCTTTGTGTTTGTGGAGAAAAGCTTGAAAATGCAGATTCCTAACCGTTTCAGAGAGTTAGTCAGAGAGTTTATGGCCAAATGGGAACGCTAGATCATGCAGTCTGATCTCCTTTGTAGCATAGGCCACCAACACACCCTGCACCCGCACACTGGCCAAACAACCGAAATGGGACCAAAGTATTACAGCTCCCAGGAGACCAGACTATTATGAGCCCCAGGCAGAGAACAGGAGGGACAGAGGTATATCAATGCCCACGGCCTCGACAATGGCAGGGAAAGATTGAGAGATGCCCAGATAATCCTGGCAGGTGACCTGTGCCCTGGGTGAAAAAAAAAACCAACCCAAGTTCACTGCCAAGCTGACCTGGGGAGAAATTCCTTTCTGACACCACATATGGCAATCAGTTAGACCCTGAGCACATGAGCAAGAACCAGCCAGCCAAGCACCTGAGACAGAGGATGCTCAGTGCCACCTCAGAACTGTGGCTCTTCCAGTCCAATGTCCCATCTCCAGCTGTGCCTCAAAGGGGGGGGGACGGACCCTCCCAGAATACACTGGAGTGTGGGGAGCAAAATCCCTTCCTGACCCCTGCTGGTGTCTGGCTGAAACCCTGAAGCATGAGCTTTTAGGAGCATAAGACGTACACCAGAAGTGAGTCCGAGGGCTGCTGAGTGCTCCCCCCACCATCACAAACAACCCCAGCATAAAATCACGCTCATAAATTTGTCCAGCTTTCTCTTAAAGCAAATTAAATTGCTTGGCCCTTCCTCCTTTCCCCTCCCCACTAACTCCTAGTGGAAGCCTGTCCCAGAACCTCACCCCTCTGATGGTTAGAAACCTTCTTCTAATTCCCAGTCTCAGTTTGCTCATGGCCTGTTTAATGTCCATTTGTTCTTGTCCCAAAAACGTCCTTCCGCTTAAATAACTGCACCTTCCCTGGTATTTATAGAGAGTAATCCTAGCACCATCGGCCTTATTGTTACATTAAACAAGCCAAGTTCTTCCAGTCTCCTCTCATAAGCTAGGCCCTCCATTCCCCTGATCATCCTAGTAGCTCTTCTTTGCACCTGTTCCGGTTTGAATTCATCTTTCTTGCACCCGAACTGTATACAGGATTCCAGACGAGGTCTTACCAGAGCCTCCTACAAGGGCATTAATCCTTCTCTTCATATAGCTTACGGTCAGAAAGGACCATTAGATCGCCTAGCCTGACCTCCTGCATATCACAGGCCATTGCATTTCACCCAGGTACTGCTGTAAAGAGCCCCAATAACGAGTTAAATTAAAACATTTCAGTCCTCTGAAGTCTAAACCATTATGTGCCACCAGCAGAGAACAGGAAAGACTGAGGTGCATCGATACAGGAGCCCATTGCAATGGCAGGGAATAGATTAGGTGAGATGTGCCAAGTTCAAACACCGGGAGGCAAATGAAAAGAATTCAATATTGATTAGTTTTAAAAATCTCATTCTGAGATTTTTTTTTTGGAGGGCAAGGGCCTATCACAATCGGGTCCTGGTTCAGGACTGAGACTCCAATGCCAATAATAATTTTTGAACACTTGAGGTTGGCCATACTGCCCATGAATATGCCTTGTTGTTTGTAAGTGTGAATGTCTCAATGTGAATTGTTACTGGAATCATAGACTGCTATAAATGTCTGGCAAGTGGGAGCCAACCCATCAACCCAGCCCGGCATCTCTCTGCAGCCACTGCAGGATTGTTCCCTACAGGGTATTTCCTAACAATACGTCTGGTCTAGTTATAAATTAGGGTTACCATATTTAAAAAATAAAAAAAGAGGACACTCCACGGGCCCTGGCCCCGCCCCTTTCCCCAACCCCGGCCCCGCCCCAACTCCGCCCATTCCCCGCCCCTTCCCCAAAGTCCCCGCCCTAACTCCCCCTCCTCCCTCCCAGCCACGCGAAAAGGGCTGCCCGAGCGCTACCGGCTTCAC